GGATTTCATTTGTTTGGTTGTTTTGGTTTGGTTTGGTTTGGTTTGGTTTGGTTTGGGTTTTTCAAGACAAGGTTTCTCTGTGTAACAGCCCTAGCTGTCCTGGAACTAGCTCTTGTAGGCCAGGCTGGCCTTGAATTCACAAAGATCTGCCGGCTTCTGCTTCCTGAGTGCTGGGATTAAAGGCATCTACCAGCACTGACTGGCCTGATTGAGTTTTTATACAGAATAAATGCTTGAAAACACTAAAAGGAGGGGCTGGAGAGATGGCTCCGAGGTTAAGAGCACTGGCTGCTCTTCCAGAGGTCCTGGTTCAATTCCCAGCAACCACATGGTGGCTCACAGCCATCTGTAATGAGATCTGGCGCCCTCTTCTGGTGCTCAGGGACACACACAGGCAGAACACTGTATACATAATAAATAAATACATCTTTTGAAAAAAGGAAAATGCTGTGGTGGGTTTAATGCATGTCCTCAACTTACCCCATACTTGTCCCATCACAGGTGGGTTATTATCAATATTATTACCTTTTCCCTGAACATTATGGTGGTTTGAGAGAAAATGGTCCCCATACGCATAGGAGGAGTGTGTCACTGGGGGGCGGACTTTGAAGCTTCAGAGGCTCAAGCCAGGCCCAGTGGCTCAAGCCTGTTCCTGTTGCCCTACAAATGTAGAGTAGAACTCTCTGCTCCTTCTCCAGCACGTCTGCCTGCACGCCACCATGCCTCCCACCGTGATGATAATGGACTAAACCTCTGAACTGTAAGTCAGCCCCAATTAAATGCTTTCTTTTATAAGAGTAGCCTTGTTCCTGCAATAGGAACCCTACCTGAGACAATTATGGTCCAGAGTACTCACTTCCAAGGTGCACAGGTGATATAAATGACCCAAGGTGGCTTTTGTAGTTGGTTAGAAGGAGTATATGACTCCAGTTTGGGTCTTTCCTTTTTAAGTGTCTGGTATCTGACCTGTCAACTTGACAGGCTCTGAGATCACCTGGGAGAGATACCTCCGGCAGTGTCTCTGAAGGCATTTCCAGAGCGGTTCCAGAGGGCGATGAGGAAGGCATGCGCACATGGACGCAGTTCTGCTCACCCCGCAGCAGACTTAGTGCAAGCCTCCTCAAAATCCCACGGTGCCCTTTAATCCCAGCGCATGGGAGACAGAGGCAGGAGGATCGCTGTGAGTTCAAGACCAGCCTACCTACAAAAGCGAGCTCCAGGACAGCCAGGACTGTTGCACAGAGAAACCCTGCCTCAAAGAAACAAACAAAAAGCCTCCACGACTCGTTATTGTGATGATGGGGACAGAATTGGAAGCCATTCTGTTCAACGAGAGACTACGCCAAGCACGAAAGACCAACCCACCCGTTCCCACCTGTTTGTTGGATCTAAACTAATGAAACTCAGAGACGCAGAGAGCAGTGGGGAGGTTGCCAGGGGTTCAGGATGGGGAGAGCTAGGTGACACCAATCGAAGGGACAAAGGCTTATTAGACAAAATAAATTGATTATTGTTGGAGGGGGCTCTGTGAATGTAACAGGAGAAACAGCAAAAGGAAGACTGTACATTTTGAAGTTTTAAACCATAATTTCCAATGACTTCGTCACAAAAAAATGATGTGCTTGAAGCCCTACCCCGACTTCCTCATACCTACTGTAGCACTGCCCCACACTGCAAACAGAGAGATGAATGTAAACCTAACAAAGAACACCATTTCAGATGATAGATAGCGCCCATGTGTTCCCCATCCATGGAGAAGGCTTCAAGTCAGCTCTGGCCTGGCCCCTGCCCAGGCTGCCAGGAAGCTGTGGGTCTTTGCTCAGAGTTAATAAGTGTGCATCTGGGATCTCTTCCAACAGACTTTAACAACAGCTAACTTCCAGAGTTGGGTTCAGTCTGTGTGTCTTAGAGGAGACCCTAGCGAGAATCTTCTTCACCTGGCCCTTAGCTCCTATGACCACGCCCATCGGATGACTATCCGCAGCTGGAGCTGTGTCTCAGGGTAAGCGGCCTCCTGACTCTGCAGATCTCACCACGTCCAGAACTGACCCCAGAAGACATGATGTCCTCCGGTTCTCTGGGGCCGCAGTCAGTCATCGTGAAGCCAGGAACACAGGGCAGTTACATTCAAAAAGCAATCATGTTGGAAGTAAGAAATTTAACAATAAAATAGCAATGTATCACTTTACACCTCACTGCTTGCCCTTAAAATAGATGTTTGTGATCAGCTCAAAGAAGAACCAACCAGTCAGCTGCCTTAGGAGCCCGTTCCTCAGCTTTAAATGCTAACGTAAACAACCAGCTTCCATGGAAATATACAGCCTCCACCCTCATCGTGAGAGCCCGTCTAAATGTCTGACTAGCCACTGTAGCCTGTGCTGTTGCACTTCCTGTCGTGAGAGAAAGTGGCCAAGGGACCAGGGCTGAAGCACCCCAGCAAACCACATGGCTGTCCCTAACTGCTGAGTGCCATTGCCCATGCCAGTCTGATAAGGACTTCCCTTAGCACACAGAAAGGACCTCCTGGGGGCAACAGCCTCTATTCTCTTCAAAAAGAAAAAGGAAATCCTCTGCCTCAGAGTTTGAGGTCAGTGTAGACTATTAAATGAGTTCCAGGACAGCCAGGGCTACAGAGAAACCCTGTTTAAAAAAGGAAGAAAGGGGAGGAGGAGAGAAAGGAAGAAAGAGAGAGAGAGAGAGGAAGGAGGATGTGAAGGAAGAAGGGAGGGAGAAAAGAAAGAAAGAAAACAGAAAGTTAGAAAGAAAGGAAGGAAGGGGAGATGCTACACACATGTCTTAGGGTTCCTCTTGCTGTGAAGAGACACCATGACTCTTTTTTTTTTTTTTTTTTTTTTTTTGGTTTTTCGAGACAGGGTTTCTCTGTAGCTTTGGTGCCTGTCCTGGAACTAGCTCTTGTAGACCAGGCCGGCCTCAAACTCCCAGAGATCCGCCTGCCTCTGCCTCCCCAGTGCTGGGATTAAAGGCATGCGCCACCACCACCCGGCTCATGACAACTCTTATAAAGGAAAACATTTAATTGGGTGACTTATAGTTTCAGAGGTTTAGTCCATTATCATCATGATGGGACATGGCAGTGTGCAAACAGACCTTGGGCTGGAGGAACTGAGAGTCCTACATCTTGATCCAAAGGCAACAGGAAGTGAACTGTGACATGAGGCGTAGCTTGAGCATAGAAGACCTCAAAACCCACCCCCACAGCAGCACATTTCCTCCTACAAGCCACGCCTACTCCAACAAGGCCACACCTCCTAATAGTGCTGTTCCCTATGAACTTATGGGGACCCCAATTACATTCGAACTATCACACAATGTCTGTTCAGCCCAGAGAGGGAGCCTACAATGGACCAAAGTGTGGATACCATAAAAGGCCAACTAGGTGAACCACTGAGGTTTGGGGGGGATTATTTAAGGGGATATGGGTGAGGGGTTGCTTACAGAGATAGTGACTCAAAGACAGCTGTGTCACCAAAGCCCACCCCAGCACAGATGACAGCTCACAAAAGCTGAGAACCTGGAGCACAGCGCACAGCCTACAGGCAGTTCAGCAGGTTGGGGAGTGTGTTTTCCAGGTGGCTCAGTTGGTCTGAGCCTCTTTCAGGGATCTCTGGTGGCCTCTGGTTCTTCCAGGCCACTTGGCTGGTCTCAGAGTCTCATCCAGGTGCCACCCAGTGGCTGAACCCCAGGTACCAAGGTATCCCTCCATTTTGGGCACCTCTGTTATTTCTGCTCTCTTCTGGAGGTGCAGGGATGGAGCACCTTGCCTTTCAGGAGCCAGGCACAGAGTGTCAGGGAAGGGGCAAGGGGAGTCTATCAACAATCCCTTCCAGGAAGCCCCATGATGGTGAGGAGTGGAGTGCCTGGGGGTGTCTGAGTCTGAAAAAAAGAAAGAAAGAAAGAAAGAAAGAAAGAAAGAAAGAAAGAAAGAAAGAAAGAAAGAAAGAGAAAGAAAGAAAGAGGAAAGAAAGAGGAAAGGAAAGGAAAGGAAAGGAAAGGAAAGGAAAGGAAAGGAAAGGAAAGGAAAGGAAAGGAAAGGAAAAGAAAGGAAAAAACTACTGGTGTCACTGAAGTGAGTCCAGAGCTGGACTGCTCTGGGTTAGAGAAGAAACAGAAGCGGGGAGTCCACACCAGGACTCCACCCTAAGTCCTCCATGTGCCTTTTACGATGAGCTAAGCTCAAGGCCACCTGACAGTAACTTGCAGCTGTTTGATTCTTACCTACAGATTAGATTTAGGAAAGACTTCCATGTGGTCTGGACTGTGACTTGGTGCCTACAAATGTTGCCCGAGGGTGGTTGGCAAGATCAATGACAGTGCTCTCTGGGCTTTCAGAAGAAACCAACTTTGGTGTCCTGGCTAGTTTTATGTCAGCTTGGCCCAAGCTAGAGTCCTCTGAAAGGAGGGATCCTCTATTGAGAAAATGCCTCCATGAGATCCAGCTGTAGGGCACTTACTTAATTAGTCACTGATGGAGGAGGGTCCAGTCCACTGTAGGTGGTACCATCCCTGGGCTGGTGGTCCTGGTTTCTGCAAGAAAGCAGGCTCCTCCTCCATAGCTTCCGCGTCAGTTCCCATCTGCAGGTTTTAGCCCTGTTTGAGTTTCTATCCAGACTTCCTTCACTGATAGACTACGATGTGGAAGTATAAGCCAAATAAACCCTTTCCTCCCCAAGTTACTTTGGATGTGGTGTTTAATCGCGGCAATAAAAATTCTAACAAGACAATTGATAAGATGTCTTCACTTTCTGCCCCTGGCCTCGCATTCCTTCTGTGTCTGGGTCGCGTCCCCTGGGAGCCTGATGTGTCCACCAGGGGGCAGCACAGGATCGTGCTCCGCTCACCTGCCCACGCAGTTCTCCAGAGCACCGCCTCCTGGGAACCTAGCACCCGCCCTCCGCCCCAGGGGAGGAGCAGGGCAAAGCACCGACAGTCTGCACCCCACAGAGGGGCTCACGTATCCTCCGCGAGCTTTCAGTGGGGTCCACCCCCTCCCTTGTGTACTCGGGAGCCTGTTCCCTGGGCGACAGTCAACACAGACAGGACTGCAAAACACAGTTGGGTCCCAGCCTGGAGAGTTCTGTCCCCTGCAGCCACTCTGAGCTCGGGATCCGGTGGGGGGACCTTGTGCAGGCTTTCCTGGGTTAAGAAAAGAATCTCTGTCTCTTTTCTCTCTTTTTCTCCTCACCCGCTTTCCCCAGTCCCCTATGGGCAGCCAACACACTGGGCTCCAAAGAACCACATCATCCGGGTACCGACCGCCCCCTACCCAGCCTCTTGCCTCAGTTTCCGGGGCCCAGGATGGCCCTGCAGCAAGCAGGGGTCTTGCTGGTGGCTGCCAGGGTACCGGAGCTCAGGGTGTACAGCAGGACCAGCTGTGGAGGGAGCTTGTAGAAGCCGAAGTTCGAGGCCAGCAGCGTTGGTGAGTGTCCTGTCCCTGCCTCCCTTCTCCCCCAGGCCTCCCCACGCTCCCTCCTGCCTTGGAGTGTGGGAAGATGCTGGGAAAGGGAGAATATATGGAAAAGAGATTAGGACAGGGAGAACATTAAAGTAGGGTGTGAGGGAGGGTCTGAAGCCCCTACCGGAGCCCAGGGCCTCAGTCCCAGCAGGTGGCTGGGAATATAGACACAGAGGGGGCCCTTGTCCCATCTCCCAGCACTCTCTCCAGATGGTCGTGGCAGGTCAGATGGGAAGCTGGTGTTGGGAAACTAAGCTCTACCTGGGGAGGAATGCTGGTCTGGGGGTGGCAGTGGGGGGCCTCCTTCATGCCTTCATTCAACAAAGGATACCCATGAGCCTTTGTGGGCTGCCAGGGGGAAGCTGGGTAGGTTTGACCAGGGTTCCCAGGGGGCCTCCCTTCCAGGACCCCGAGAGAAGCAGGTAAGTAAACTAAGCAAGGAGGAACGATACCTTCGAACTGTATGCCCAGTTTGGAGTTTGTAAGACAAAACCGAAGACCATGGAGTAGCGGAAGCACAGTTAGGAGGAAGACGGCTACGGAGCGGCCACCCAGCAGTTGTGAAAGTGTAGAGAGAAGTTTCTGTCCCGCCTGGTCCCACAGCCGGTCAGTCCCAAAGTAACATACAGAGGCTTGGATTTATTATAAACTGTTTGGCTGGGGGCTGGAGAGATGGCTCAGCGGTTAAGAGCATTGCCTGCTCTTCCTAAAGGTCCTGAGTTCAATTCCGAGCAACCACATGGTGGCTCACAACCATCTGTAATGGGGTCTGGTGCCCTCTTCTGGCCTGTAGGCATACACACAGACAGAACATTGTATACATAATAAATAAATAAATAAATATTTTTTTTTTTAAAAAAGGAAGTCCTTTAAAAAATAAACTGTTTGGCTGATTAGCTCAGGCTTGTAATTAACTAGCTCTTACAACTTCAATTAACCCATAATTCTTATCTATGTTTAGCCATGTGGCCTGGTACCTTTTCTCAGTGAGGCATTCTCATCCTGCTTCCTCTGCATCTGGGTGACGACTGCAGACTGAGCCTTTCCTCTTCCCAGAATTCTCCTAGTCTGGTTGTCCTGCCTGTGCTTCCTGCCTGGTTACTAGCCAATCAGCATTATATTAATCCAATACAGGTGACAAATCTTTACAGCTTACAAAAGCATTATCCCACAGCATGAAGTCTACATGAAGGCTCTCCAAAGACACACGCTGTGCAGGACTTTGCACATGGTTGCGTTTTTAGTTTCTTTTCTTTCCTCTTTTAGTCTGGCCATCAAACACAAGGCTTTATATAGGCAGCAGACACTCTGCCATGGAATTTATCCCCATAAGCAAATGTCAGAATTTCCTTCTTCAAGGCAGAATAATATTCTAATGCATGGATAGACTTTTTTTCTCATTTTGCGTCTTGTTGTTTCCACATTTTGGTTGTTGTTAAGTGTGTAACAAGAGAGAGCAGATTTCTCTCCAAGATCTGGCTTCCCATCTCTCAGATAAATATTCAGAAGTGGAGTCAGAAACCAGCCCAGGAGGACGGTCATACTGTTTTTCATAATGGCGGCACCACTTTGCATTTCCATTAACAGTGTGCGAGGATTCCAGTTTCTCCGCAGTCCTGCCAATGCTTGTTGGTTGCTTTTGGTGCATTTTTTCCCCCATTAGGTGGTCAGAAGCACAGGCCTAGGCTGGCAACTGGCACCCCAAAACTGTGCAATCTGCCACTGTCTCTAGGGAGATGGAAATGGGATCAGAGGGTGCTCAACTGTGCCTCACGCTGTAGAATTGCTTTCAGGCTACCCAGGGTGTCCCTATGACTGCCTGGCATCACCTGTCCTCTGTTTTGATGGTCGTGTGAGAGCAAAGAACCACAGACACAGGCCATTCACTCTCCCTCCCCCCAACAGGCTCCCCAAAACAGGAAATGTGGTAAAAGTCTGCACAGAACAGGCAATTTAAAAAAAATACGCCCCATTTCTCTGAACCCCCCAAAGAGACTTCATTTAAAAAATGTAAACTTAGCTGGGCAGTGTGACTGACTCCTTTAATCCTAGAATTTAGGAGGCAGGTGCAAACAGATCTCTGAGTTCAAAGTCAACCTGGTCTACGTGGTGGCGGAAAGCACGGCAGCAGGCAGGTAGGCAGGCGTGGCACTGGAGCAGTAGCTGCGAGCTTACATCCTAATCTGTGAGTAGACGGCAGAAAGGAAAGGAGGGGGTGGATATACACTGCGAACGGCATGGGCTTTTTGCCTCCAGTGTCATACCTCCTCCAACAAGGCCACATGTCCCAATCCTTTCTAGACAGTTCTACCAACTAGGAATCAAGTCTTCAAATACATAAGCCTATAAGGGGTCATTCTCATTTAGACCGGCACAAATGGGGGTGGCTTGAGCCTGTAATCCCAGGGTTGGAAAGACAGAGGCAGGAGGCCACACCTGACAAGTGGCAGTGCACACCTTTAATCTCGGCACTCAGAGGCAAAGGCAGGCAGATCTCTGTGAGTTCAAAGCCAGCCTGGTCTGTAAAGAAAGATTCAGGCCAGTTAAGATCACAACAGGACCCTGTCTCATGCAAACAAACAAAAACAGTCAAGGTCATCTTCAGGTACGTAGTGAGTTCTAAACTAACCTGGACTAACAGACAAATGAATAAATAAGGAAGCTAAACACAAAGTGTTAAACACATAACATCTGGAATAAGAATTGGTGAAAATTACAAAAACCAGATAGAAAAAGTCGCTGGCCACTCTGTGGGCTGCTCCCTAAATATAACAAGGGCACTTGGCATTATTATTGTGGTTACGTAGCATTTTAACTCCTCCATGATGATAAAAAGACTCCAAGAGATGGTGAAAGTCATTCTTTAGAATATTCCAGAAAACAAAACAAACAGACAAACAGACCCACTCACATGCCTGTGCTTTCCTTTCCAGGGCTGAGAATTGGGGTTTTCTGAAAGACTACGACCCTTTGGTAAGGCAGCACACCCTCCAGAAGCTGCTTACGATGCCAACATTCTTTCTTCATATCCCTACGGGGCCGGTGACCTGAGCTGTCTCCTCTCCTCAGGGAAATAAGAAGGAGCCTGAGAAGCTCCCTGAAGACGTGCCCTTCTTCTCAGACACACTCCCCAGCTCCACGAGCCGGGAGGTGGGCAGTAGGGTGGACACAGCCCTGGGGAGGGCCCTCACCCACATGGATTTCTTCTTCACGGAAGGTACGCGGAAGAAGAAGCTGGAGGATGAGCTGCAGCCAGTGTAGGGATCTTAGGATGGACCCCAGCAGGTAGGCGTGGAATGGACAGAGTCCAGGAGGCCCTCAGAGTGTGGGTGCTCTTGGGTCAGTCTCATATGTGGCAGGAGGAGGATTCCAGAAACACCCCTAGGACCACAGAACCTTACTCAGCCCTTCCTGCTCAGGACCCCAGAGTTAAAGTGGGAACTCAGTGTTAAAGGTGGGAGCGTGTTTAATGGGTTCGGTCTGACTTTATAACTATGAGGTTGCTCACAGTTTCTGCCTCTGTCTGTCTGTCTGTCTGTCTGTGGGTGCTGGGGCACCTCAACCTGACTTCACGCACTGGGAGGAGGCAGGGCGAGCTGGTAGCACACTCCCAGCTGACCCGAAGGCTGCTGTTGGCGCCGCCGATTTGTAGGTGGAGGCCGCTTGTTCATTCCCAGCTGCCCAGACTACAAAATAATCACAAAGAAACTATATTAATTAAATCACTGCTTGGCCAATCACTTAAGCGTATTTCTGGCTAACTCTATCCTAAACTAACCCATCTCCATTCATCTGTGCATCACCATGACGTCGTGGCCTACCGGCAAAGTTCCAGCACGTCTGTCTCTGGTGGAGGCTACATGACTTCCCCCTGACTCTGCCTTCTTTCCTCCTCTATCTGCCTGGAGTTCCTGCCTTGCTCTATTCTGCTAAGCCACTGGCCAGATATATTCATTAACCAATAAAAGCAACACATATACAGAAGGACTTCCCACACCAGGCTGCAGCCTTCCTTCTGGGAGTCTAAGGTTAAAGTGAGTTGTCCTGACCAATCCAAGATCACAGGAGCGATGGCGCTCAGCAGCTAAAAGCACTTGCAGAGACCTAGGTTCAATCCCCAGCACCTGCCTCGTGGCTAACAGTTATCTGTAACTCTAGCCCCAAGGAATCCAATGCCCTCTCTGGCCTATAAGGGCACTTGAATGCACAGACAATTATACAGACACATACACATAAACCTAAAAACAAAACAAACAAAAGTCAAGGCTCACTTCAGCTGCAGGTGGCTTCCCTCAAGCACACTAGAGAATCTCATAAAGACTTCTCAAATCTGTCTCCTGGGGCATGGGACCCGGAGCCCAGAACTGGTTCCCAAGCCTACAAGCACAGCCATTTACAGATGGTGCAAAGTTTAAGCCCAAATCACCTTCTTCACATGTATTTTTGTCACTAGCCAAGAAGTCTAGAAGCCAAGGCAAGCATCTGGGGCAGACTGGTCAGTTCCCTGCGATGTCTGACTCATGGCAGCGATACCAATCCTGGCCTCCATCTCCACAGTTAGAGGATGGCAGGAGAGGGGAGGAGACAGATCTCAAGGATATCACAGGGCTGGTCTTCTCTAGAGCACGTTGGTCAGAAGGAAAATACAGTACAGCTCACAGCCTCCTTCCCATGCGTAGACCTTGGCTAGAACATTATACTGGAGATCTTGTCTACATGTCTCTCAGTTGTTTGGACCAACAGGCTCCTGGGGTACAAGCTTCTCTCTGCTCATCTCCAGAGTGCCAAGAGAGCTGGAAGGAGAGGATGCTATACTGTGTCTGCGTGACTCTGCAGGTCGCAGCCAGCCCCCCACATATACTCTCCACCCCACGTAATCACGTCTTCAGGCTCTTCAGGAAGCTGTCTGCTATGAGTTTCACTGTCTCACTCATGGGCTAAGGAATGGAGATGGGTCCGGCCACCAGTGCCTTCTGTCTTTGGGACCAGAACAAAGAAGGCTGGATGAGCCAGGCAGCCAGGCTCCAGGCCTAGGCATGGGGAAGTAGCACCAAAGCTCCACAGCCTCACTGTAATCCCTAGGGAGCTTTATCTAGACAGTGGACCAGGGCAGCTCAGAGCCCACAGGCTGGGCAGCACCAGGGGTCCAGAAGGGTCAAGTCCAGAGAACTAAGAAGGCCCACAGCAGGGCAGGAAGGAGCCCCCTTCACTCTAGACCACTGCTTCTTTGAGCATCTCTGCCTCCCTCTGCCCTGTGGTAGACGCTACCCCTACTTCCAGTGATAAAGAATGCCCGCCTGCCATGGAGACACAGAGTGACCCCTAGGCATCTTCCTGTACTAGACATGATGAGGTAGTGTAAAAAGACACATGGGTTATTCTGGGGGTGCCTAGCCACCAAGTTTAGAACAATGTCGATGTCAACACGAAGGAAAAGTAGAGGGCCAACCTGGCTACACCCCTGACTCATGTGCACACACAAACACACATACACATGATTAAAAATAATTACATTTTTTTCAAATACTGAACTCTAGAGAATTACAGAATAAAGAACAGAAATATCGTCATTTTAGGCCTAACACTCATAACTACTTTAGGTATGAATTAATAAAGGCCACAGAAACCTTAGGTTAGAGATTCACAGGGAGCCCCATCAGGAGAAGGGCAGCTGACATGATGTACCTCTGGAGCTACCCAAGGAGCTCTCCCTGGAGACAGAGTACGTGTGACCTGAGAGCTACCAGGAAAGGACAGAGCCCATGCTTGCCTCTTTGTGAAAGACAAAGGGAGCTGAGCAGTGGCCCAGGTGAGAGGCAGCCCAGGCCAGAGACTCTAGAGAGCGCCTTGGGGAATAAATGCCGGAGGACAGGCATAGCGGAGAACAGGTCGGTCACGCTGCGCTGGTATAGATCCCAGCTTCTGAAACTGAGCTGGAGCCAGATAACTGCATGTGGGGTCTGCAAAAATATGGTCGCAGTAAGTGTGCTGGACATGCAATGACCAAAATTAATTCAAAGACAAACATGTAATGTACTCCCGATGTTTCTGGCTGTGCTAGCCAGTTTTATTTTGTGACTTCACCATGGCTGTGCCTCTGAATATACAGTGTGTGTGATTTGTAGTTAGCAGGCTGTCACACCACACAACCTCAAGAGATGCTGCCAGAGCAGTCCACACAGGCACATGTATATGCCTTGGCACCCACACATACACGAACACACACATGCACACACATATGCACACACATGTACACACACACTTGTACACACACACCACATACACACCCATGTGTACATACATGCACATGCATACACATGTACACACACACGCACACACATGCATACATACGCACATGCACAATACACACATGCATATACATGCACACCCATATGCATGCACATACACACATGCACACACCACACACACGCACACCCATGTGTACACCCATGCACACCCATGCACACACAGGCACATGTACATGCCTTGGCATCCACACACATGCACACACACATGTACACACGTACACACCACAAATACACATGCACACCCATGTGTACACACATGCACATGCATACACATGTACACACACATGCACACACACAATTGCTGCTCTACTTGACTCAAGTTTCATTTTTAAAAAAGGTGTTTGGCTTGTGATTAATTTGCAACAATTTCTAAAATGGCCTTAAACATCCAGTGCCATTTTGTGTTAGCTATTCATGTAAAGGGGCATTCTCAGTATCAGAAGTTATAAAATCAAAATATCTAAGGGCTGGAGAGATGGCTCAGGGGCTATGAGTACCATTGCTCTTCCAGGGGACCAAGGTTTCGCCTCTGGCACTCCCATGGCAGCTCATGATTGTAACTCCAGTTCCAAGGCATCCAAGGTACTCTTTGGGCCTCCATGGGCATCGGGCATGTATGTGGTACACAGACATATATGCAGGCAAAAGACACACATAAAATAGAAATTTTTAAAACTTTAAAAATAAAATATCAGTCAACTGAAAAAATTTGAAAATGTTCTATTTTCTGTTCTATCAAATATTGAACCAAAATTTAATTCTATATGTAAAAATAAACACAACCACCTCAGTATGCAAATTAACTTTAATCTTTAATAAATTGTAAAACTGTGTAAACCAAAGAATTATTTTGAAAAAAAATTTTTTTGATTTGTTATTAGCTGGTGTTTGACTTATTCAGTTTTTTTTTTTTTTTTAAGTTCAAGGATGTTTTTTGTTAGAGTTTGAGAAAAGCAAAGGGCAGGCTAACTGTAAATCTTGGGGAAAAGGAACCATGTCCTTTATTTAGCAAGTAGCCACCTGGCAGCCAAGCAGCCAGTGTGAAGCAAGAAGTGGGGGGAGGGGAGTGTCTGGGGAAGGGAGGGAATCCAAGTGTCTGGGAAAGCATGCTTCAGAAAGAGACGGAGAAAGAAAAGGCGAAAGGAAAGTTATCCAGGCTGGTTCTGCAAGCTGCTGCCTGCTCACAGCACCTACATCCTCCTCCAGTGGTCACAGGGACCTGTTTCTGGTGAGAGGGGCTGTGAGTGGGAGGAGCTTAAGAAGCTCTGAGTAGTTTTCAGGGTCCAGGACAACCCTCTACTTCACCTGATGTCTACAGCACACTGGCCAGTAGCTTATGTGTAGTAATACATACTGGTGGGCAAGCCACGTGCAGAGCCTAGATGACATCCCTACAGGTTCAGGCAGTTGTTTACCTGTACAGGATTTGGAGTCCTTTTGTCTTAGCATTTACCCTCAAAATGGAACAAACTGCTACATTGTAAAATGGAGTTACTCAGGGCAAGGCTGAGCTAGGAGGCTGTTGGCTTTACACAAGGAAGAAAGTAACTCGGAGCAGAGCTGACTGTATCATATCTCCATTCTCGACTACTTTTCTTAGGTACAGAATTGCCAACTCAAGAGAGACATAGCCAAAGCATGGAAACACACACACACACACACACACACACACACACACACACACACACCCCAAAGATCTTTCTCGTGGGAGGGAAGCGATAGAGCCTTTTGACTTCTTCCAAGGGAAGGGTGAGGACTTTGGTGAGGACTGGAGGCAAGGTGGAAGGTGTGTGCTGGTGCATGGTTTACAGCCCAGAATTACTGCAGACTAGCTGTGCGTCTGTGTGTGTGTGTGTGTGTGTGTGTGCAGACTCATAACCCAGAGATCTCCAGAGGAGGGAAAATGACCCCATCTTCCAATCTTGTACCTAAGGGGCGGTGCCCAGTTGTGTTATTTCTCCCGGGGAGATGTATGGCGGCACCAATTCATCCCAGGCAGGGCTCCAATATATTATAGAGTCCTCCCAGTAAGTTTATTGGGATTGTTTATTGGGTGTTGATTCAAGAAAACTGCATCACTCGCTGGAGTCAGGTTGTCCCTGCTCCCCACAAGCAACTTAGTTCCCTACTATTTACAGTTTGTACCCCCCCCCCCCCCTCCCAGTGGTGATCACAGCAGCCTCAGCCCTCCTTCCAGAGAGCAGGAATCCAATCTGGAGGAAACAGCAGCGCACCACGACAAACCCTTTTCTTTTGTTTTATTGAGACAGGGTTTCTCTGTGTGGTTTTGGAGCCTGTCCTGGAACTAGCTCTGTAGACCAGGCTGGCCACGAACTCACAGAGATCCGCCTGCCTACGCCTCCTGTGTGCTGGGATTAAAGGCGTGCACCACCACCGCCCGGCAACCCCTTTTCAATAATAGTTACCTATTAACTCTTTTTTAAAAGATTTATTTTATGTATAGAGTGTTTCTGTAGCTTGTATGCTTGCACGCCAGAGCTCATTACAGATGGTTGTGAATTACCACGTGGTCGTGGGAATTGAACTCAAGACCGCTGGAGGAATAGGCGGTGCTTTCTTTTTTTAAAGGATTTATTTACTTATTATGTATTCAGTATTCCTTCCATGTATGCCTGCAGGCCAGAAGAGGGTACCAGATCTCGTAGATGGCTGTGTGCCACCAAGTGGTTGCTGGTAATTGAACTCAGGACCTCTGGAAGAGCAGTCAGTGCTCTTAACCACTGAGCCATCTCTCCAGCCCGCACCTATTAACACTTTTGAGGCATGTGTATTTGTATTCTCAGCGATGGGGAGGTTGAAAGAAAGAGGATCCTTGGGGTCCCTTGGCCTGTTAGCCTCGCCTGTTTAGTGAGTTCCAAGCCCGTGAGGGTGTACGGTACTCCAGGAATGACACCTGAGGGTGTCCATTTGGCTTGTGCACACAACAACAAAACCCTAATAAAATAAAAAGAGGAGGGACGGAAGGAAAGAGCGGGCTCTCACATGGTACGATGGAACAAATTAGAAATCCCAGCATTTGCCAAAAGGCGGAGGGAAAAAAAAACATAAGTTCAAAACCAGTCTGGGTCACGTGACCCGACCTCAACCCACCCACGGTAAGTTCTGGATCGGACGGAAACGGGAGGGTCCGAGTGAAAGCTGACTTTGGTTCACCTTGAGTTCAAGGCCAGTCAGTCTGCTGAGGCCTCGTTTCAACAAAACAAAACAGGAAAAGCCGCCTCCCGGGTTTAGGGAGCAAGTTCCTTAAGGAGATTAGCCTACCGGGTGGACTTCTTATACCAACAGAAGGCTAGCTCCGAGTGGCTGGGTTTCGGGGGGCCTCGGCGTCATCCGGCTTCTTCAGGCCGAGTCTGGGAGAATGCTGACGAGGTTGGACCAAAAAAAAAAAGTTTTAATTTCTGAAAGGTTTAAAGTACAAAGATTAATTTACAGAGGATGGAAAAACACTCGGAATGGCCTGAGCGGTAGGCCCTGTGCCCACCCAACCCCTGGGGAGGCTGGTCTGTCCCAGCATTTCCATTCCGCTAGAAAGGGCACCCGTGGGTGGAACCCGGAAAGTGAATCAGCAGCAGGCAGAACCCGGCTGGGAAGGACAGAGCAGAGCCACCACCCCGGGGCTGGGAGTACCCGGAGCAGAGTAGACACGAGGCCTGGTGCACCCACAGTGGAGCAGACACCGGGTGGGGAACATCCTGAGCCGAGCAAGCTCGGGGCGTTGTGCACCTGGAGTGGAACAAACACGGGGCAGGACGCACCCAGAGTGGAGCAGACTCAGGGCGGGGTGCACCGGGGTCGGAGCAGATTGGGGGCGGTGTGTGCACTGAGCATAGCAAACACAGGACGGGGAGGGGCCCAGAGGGGATGGGTGGGGGGGAGGGGCACCCGAGCAGAGCGGACTTGGGCGGGGAGCATCCAGAGTCCAGCCGACACGGGGCGGGGCGCACTCGGAGCGCTGCAGCTCGGGGCGTGGTTGGGGCGTCGCCCGTCGGGCGGGAAGGCGGAAGGACTTTGGACCGTGAGCTCCTGGTTCTCACCCACGAGATTCCGCAGCCCCCTGACCCCGCACTCCCGGGATTGCAGCATGGAGGCCGGGCTGCTGTGGTTCTGCAACTGGAGCACGCTGGGCGTTTGCGCCGCACTCAAGCTGCCGCAGATCTACGCGCAGTTGGCGGCGCGCAGTGCGCGGGGCATCAGCCTCCCCAGTTTACTTTTGGAGTTGGCGGGGTAAGGCCCCGGGAGGCCTGCGAATCCGGGAGACCGAGGGTTAACTCGGGGGGCGCGGAGCTGGGAGACGCTTTCCCGGGCGCTCCCACACACCTCCCTTGCTTCTCCCCAAATCCCGGAAGGTACGAAATGCCTGTGCACGCCCATCTTAGAGATTCTGCGAAGTCACCCCGACCCCCACCCTGTCCTTAGGCCGCGGGCGAAGCCATTTGCACCTGCGGTCCCTTAACGACCCTAACCTCACCCGGCACCACCCACATTTTTTTTCCCAGCCTAGAGTCCCTTGCCTGTAAACCAGTGGTTGGGCTGAGATCTGAGTTACAAGATTTGATGATTCCATGTGGGAATGAAGAGGGGGAACGAAGAGGGGGAACTTGGGTAGGCGTATGGAAGTTGGGCTGGGGTCCAACACGCAGGTTTGGGCAGTGGCTGCTGCAGGAGCCAAGTTATTGGTGACTTTGGCTAAGTAGTTAAGAGTAAGGTAAAGTCGTGAAACTTTGGTTGGGAAAAACAAATTAAATGGGAAACACGTCCCTGAGTCGCGTGATCTTGCACCAGCACCAGCCCCTCCCCGCTGTCGTCCACACGGAGGAGAGCGCCCATCTGATAGGGTGGGCTTCAAGGTGCACCTTTTCAGAGAGCGGGCGGGAGGGTCCCGGGTCCGCTGGCTGCGTAGAACAAGAGTATGTGCATTTCAGAGAGGGGGTGAGGGAGGGAGGGAGGGAGAGTGAGAGAGAGGTGATGGGTAAGGCTTGAGACTGAAGGATACAGGCTGGGGTTAGAGGATGCAGGTGTTTGAAGTCAGGAGAGTTACTTGGCCTCTGGCATGCTAAGTTCTTCGCGAGCATGAAGCTCAGGCTTCAGGGTGCAGACTGAATAGAAAGCTCTCGGATGCCTACAGAACGCCAACCATCTCCTTCCCTGCCTGTAGCTTCCTCTTTGCTGCCTGGCTTTAAACACGCAAATCCAATCAGAAATCGTCTCAAATCCAACAGCTGACCCCAGCAGCTCTGGTCATGGAAATGTTCCCTGAGACCCGGATGGTTTTGTAGTCTATCGCGGTACAGATAAAGTAGGCTCTTTCTGGAAATCTCAACAGCCTCTCTCCTTCGGGCAGTGGGCGGTTAGCTACGGCTGGTTTCTGTAGTTAGGTTTGGCAGGGTTAAGACTGGGTCGAAGGCCAGAAGGCATGGGTATGCAGCACCGCTGAAACCCGATAGTTATTTATCCCTCCTTCTGCCGGCAGGTTACTGCAATAGTTCCCAGTTCGTGTGGTCTTTCCGGAGGTCCTCCTGGAACCCTACATGCATTCCTTTCTTAATCCTCACCGCAGCTCGAGTTGAAGAGTTGTTTTAATCCTGAGCTAGGAACAATAGGGACAGGAGGGCAACCCTGCCTAATCTCAGCTGTCTCCATTTCCACTCCTCCCACCTCCCGCTCCCTTCCCCTTGCATGGCTGTGGGTTGGGGGTCACTTCAATTTTGCACCCGCCTGGGCTTTGCTTGGTTGCCTGCTTGTCCCTCACCAATCAGACAGGCTCTGAGGCATCCACCACTATCATACAGCCTGCATCCTCCAGGGACTGGACTCCTGCCTTGGGGGCATGGACCCTCTTTGGATTTGGACCTGAGAGCTCCAATTCTAAAATTCTGATTTGAGGGATTGGTTCTTGGCCAGAGCCTAGCTATTTTAATGACACCGGAGACTTCACGCCTGGTTGATGATTGCTTTACACAGAAATTTTAAAGACCGCAAAGCATTCGTGCATCATCCTCAGGGTACAGGTGTTTGGGTCCCCCTAAAAGCACAGAAGCCAGTCCTCAGTGAGAGAGCCTGAGTTGACATCTTAACCTTGAGTTCTCACATGGTCTTGTCATCTTTGGGCCTTAGTTTCTCCATATGATGTGGCAGGCACTGTAGGTGACCCGTAAAGGTGTTTGGTACCTGCTGTCTGGGTCTCTGGCAACATTCCCGAAGGTCTATCCTCAGGGAAGTCACAGTATGGTGAAGACTGCATGCTCTAGTCTTGGGTAAATGTGCCTGGGGTCTGGCGGGGTCTCAGGGTGGGCTGTGAATATCTACGTGTCCTGCCTCCAGGTTCCTGGTCTTCTTTCGCTACCAATGTTACTATGGGAACCCGTTGCTCACCTACCTGGAATACCCCATTCTCATCGCACAAGGTAACTGACAACTCCCCATCCCACCCCCCTTCCCAGCCTGCCCTGCTGCTCTGCCCATCTCACGGTCCCTTCTTTCAGACATCATCCTCCTGCTCTTCGTCTTCCACTTCAATGGGAACGTGAAGCAGGCCTTGCCCTACATGGCCGTGTATCCTTCCTGCAGCTGAGCTGGACATGGAGGTGGAGGGGGCTAAGGAAAGGGGCTCATGGTGGCATGCAAGAGGCTCAGAATTCTGTCCTCGGCAACAAACAAAAGGGTGGGGGGGATTTGGGGTGTCATTTGCTAATATTCTGCATTATGAAACAGGATCTTTTTTTTTTTTTTTTTTTTTTT